TTGTCAACATCAAAACCCAGCTCTTTTAAACTCAACTATATGTTAGATTGACGCCTGGGGAACATCAAAAATAAACAGATGTCCAGCACTCCTTATTTCAAGACCTGAATCTCTGAGCTTGAGGTCTATGTATTTATAGTTTTCATGACTCCCCAGGTGATTCTCATGCACCAAGAGAACTGAAATCCTCTGCTCCAGTCCAGAGATCCCTCCTTTGAAACAGGAGGACACTGAGGCAGAAAGGATAGGATAGATCCTGAAGGGCACAGAGACGAATCTCATCTCCAGGTCTCCTGATTCCCAGTCTCTGAATCACCTGGGCACTGTTAAAAAGGGGTGTTTCCAGATTCTACCCCATGTTTGCTGAATCTGAATCAACATTAACAAACTCTCCAGATGATTCTCAAGCCCAAATTTTAAAACCCTTCTATGACATCATGCTCCTGCCCCACTCTTTGAAAGATCCATTATTCTTTGCAGATAGAATCTAATGTTTTGGCAAATATAAATGACAACAGAGAGGAATGAAAATATCATGAGACCAGAGATTAAGGAAGAATCTGTCTCTGGGCTTTGCGGCTTCCTAGTTTCATAACCTAGCTACGTGCTGTGGAAGGCTCAAGGAGCAGATGAGAAGAAAAAATATATGTGTAAAAATTTGGAAACTAAAAAAGTGATCATTAAGAAGGTTTAGAGGCAATTGTTATTGCTTTTTGCAGTATAAACTCTATCACTTCTGTTTCTTCAAATACGAAATGAATTTTGAGCATGGGCCTCACAAAGATGCCACGTATCTGATGTGATATTGAATGTTAAGTGCCTAGCACAGTGTCTCTCATATAGCAGATGCTCCACAAGATTCACACCTCCACCTACAGATATAAAAGAGAAAATCTAAGTGTTTGCCATTATGGTGTTCTCCAACTGTTGGGAGCTGCTGGCCTGGCTGGGGGCAGCCATCACACAACATGGTGAAGCTGTAGCAACTCCATAATTTCCACAAAGGATCTATAGTTCAGATTAGCAGTGAGCTATGGAGGTGGTTTGTATTTATTGTACAGAGCACACTGTATTTCCCTAGGCCTCCTCTGTTCAAAGAGTAGTCCACAGCCACACAAGGTCAGCATCACCAAGGAGCTTGACAGAGATCCCTACCTACTCCCTACCTACTGTATCAAAATCACCATTTTAATAACATAACTTGTTGAGTTGTGTACACATTAAAGTGCTCTGGATTCAGCTGTATAGAACAGGGGTGTCTTAAAAGCATAATGACGGAGATAATGAGGCAGAAAATATGGTCCCTAACCCCACAACATCACCCACCTCAATAACAGGTCTGTGTTAGGAGAAATAAAATAAACAGCAGTGAGGAAGCTCATGGGGTCACTGCTTCTAGAAGTCCAAGGAAGTATGAAGAGGGGAGAAGAGTCTAAATAGTTACCCTAACGTGTTGACTTGAAACATAAATATATGAATGGGCCCCCCAAAAAAACTATTTAAAAATGAAATTTTACAAGAAGCCAAATCTAAAGCAAATATCAGCAGAACTGTTCTGCCTAAAACAGAGGATCATCTCCTGGAGCCCAACAAACTGCCTCCCCACCTCCTCCCAGGGTGATTCAAAGATCCCTCCCCAGGGCGCTCTTTTTGAAAACCTCTGACCTAGAAGTACTTGATTTTGTGGGTCAATTTGGTAGGTGTGTGTGTGGGATGGGGGGCAGCATGCTCTTACAACCTCATCCTGAGCTAAGTCAATGAGTGAATTAGTCAAATATGAGTACGAGTGTGCCCCATGTGACTGCACACGAGATTAGGACCCAGGAAACCAATGCTTACAACATGTGACTTCCAAATCATCATCTCTACACCAGGGTGGAGCAGATCCGTGGGCGGTCCCAGTACTCCACAGAGGAATTAATGCATTCATGAAGACCTGAGACAGGCCTCTCCCATCTGAGCAGTACCTCACCCCAATGCCTAATAAGGTGCTTCTTCAAACCTATTTCACAGTCCTCATATAGTGGGAGGCAGATGAACCGAGGCAGGAAGTGAAACACAGTGTTGCAGTACAGCTGTTTAAATTAAGGGAGTAGGGCTTAGAACCAAATGATTATTGTGGATTCCCCAAACATATTGTGGAAGGAAGTTGCTGTGAGGACCGAGTAGGTTGCAAAGCATCATCATTTTTGTAAACACAAGTGAAAGCAGAAGGATTTCCAGGGGCAAAGGTCTGCTTTTCCACTCAGCTTCTTATTAAATGGAAATTCAGAGGCCGGAGCTGCGGTCAAATGCAAGGTCCCTTGAAAGATGAAATACATGCAAATGTTTGGAAATTCTAATGTTTGATCTCAGAGGTTTTCATAACCTGCATGAGGTGGTTCAGACTGCCAAGTATTCAAACCATACATGCACAACGAGATAGATATGCCTGGTGGGGAAATGATAACTCTAGATAGATAATATTAATACTGATTATTAATATAACGAAGTGTGATCAAACCGCAATCAAAGATTCACTAGCATTATCAGCACCATGAGTTTAGCATGCATTTAATTTCCTCTGGCCAGACAGTTTACATGTGACATATTGCCTTGCTCACTGCTAATTCTCCAGCAGCAAGAATATTTTGTGGTACAGAAGAGAGGCTGACATACACACATGACATAAATATAAATGCAAGGAAGTCCCCACTCACTAACTCGTAAGGGGTCATTATTATTTTTATTACACAGAGAAAGAAGCAGACACTTAGATACAATAGATGCCATGTCAGAGTCCACATGGGGCCAGGTTCCCACGCAACTGGATCAGGCATAGATCCTCATGATAATTAGGGATATTGAATATTTATTTTGAGCCAAATACTGCACTTAAAATTTTTCATATTATATTTCCGTCTTCCAACTCCTTGCAGGATAGACATTAGTGCTCCCATTTACACACAAGGAAAATAAGGCTTTCCAAGTGTAAAAGCCTGTTCTGTGCCACTATAAAAGAATTCCTAGAACTAGTAAATTATAAAGAGCAGAGTTTTGTTCCTCACAGTTCTGGAAGCTGGAAAGTTCAAGGTCAAGGGGTGTGCATCTGGCAAAGACCTTCTTGCGGTGGCATCCCATGGTGGAAGTTGGAAGGGCATGAGAACACATGATGGACAAAAAGAGGAAGGGAGACTAAACCTTTCCTTCCACCAGGAACCTACCCCTGCATTAACAAAGCTACTCTCAGGGTAACAACATTAGACTTCTTGACCCAGTCACCTATTAAAAGGTCCCACCTCTCAAAATTGTAGCGCTGAGGATTGAGCTTCCAAAACATGAACTTTGGAGGATGCATTCAAATCATAGCAGAAATATTAAATGATATTTCTCCAGAATTTGAGTCCTTGGAGAGTAGCAACTCCTGTTTCCATCTCTAGCACCCTGTTCCTTAATAGGTGCCTGCCACATAGAGGTTCTTAAAGAAGACTGGAATTAAATAAATGAGCAAATTAGTAGTTAGTTGCTCTGTAATCCTTCCTTCAATTTATAGCACTAATACTATATACAATTCTTAGAATCTTGAGATTTAAAATAGTCCTATGATAAACCATCTCATCTTTTGTCCCATGAATAGCTGTAGAGGAGATAAAATAAAAACCTACAGTTTCCAGCTAAGACAAAGAAGTTAATAATCTGGGAGGCTGGGCCCAGAAAGAATCTCTTCCTAAGCCATAGATGTACTTTCATTCATTAAAATTAGACTATTCCATAAATTCACCAAAAGCCGATTCATGAGTGGCCACTGTAACTGAATTGTACTGATACTAATCATTGGCAAGAATCTAAGTAGCTAGTTTAGCTCTATCACCCCATTGGGTGGGGAAAAATGTTGTTTTTCAGAAATAGTATTTCAGTGATTTTCTCATTTATACTCTGGTTTGAATATGAAGTGTCTCCCACAAGGTCTTAAGACCATGTAGCCATAGGTGAGATAATGAGATTATGAAAGCTATATCCAACACCTAATTCATTTAATCACATGCTTGACCCAATAACACTCCCTGAAGCAATGTACTCTGAATGTTCTATGGTCCCCAAATTCAACACTACAATAGCAGTATCTACTCGTGAATCTTTCTCTTGGTTTACCATGATGCATCTGTCAACCTAAAATGGAAGAACTGTGAAAAAGTCTTTGAACCAAAAAATCCAGCATGTTAACCTACCAGCCGTATTCCCATAACTTAGGTCATTCTAGAAGATCCAAATAGATATTAAGAAACATTACCACTTTACTTATTCTCTCATTTATTCTATTACAAATGCAATAAGTCTTATTTTCAGACATAATCACTAATAAAAAGTCTAATCAGACTATGAATAAATAGAACCTTCATAAGGTTTGAAGAAATTCTATCAAAAGTCTCTCACTAGAATATATTCAAAGATACAAATAATATTTAGAAATATTTTTAACCACTAAAAAGTTCAAACAAATGACATTTGCTTATAACCATTACATGTTGTCGAGAGTCTAATATTAATTTTAAAAGATTAATTAAATGATCAGATACATTAACTCTAATAAGTAGTTATTACCTACCAATTACCCATCAGTATCAACATTTATAAAATAAATTCATGTATTTTTTTCGTGATAACTGGAAGTGTGTGCATTCCAAGGATATTGCATAAAAGCCAAACCTAGTTCAACACTGTAGATAGAAAAAGGCGGCTAGCTGGGGGCTCTGGATTCTCAACCTTGCCCCCATGGGTAGGATAGTGGGGCCTCCCAAATGAAGTATGATTTCCAGGTTTTTCAGCCCATAGAAGATTAAAAGCAAAAAAAAAAAAAATAGAATCTGGATTAAAAAAAAAAGTCATTTCCAAACAATAAGTCAGAAAACAGGAAAAAAACATAAAATTCAGGTAATTGATTTAGTCAGCTTTTTGTTGCTGTAACTAAATAATGCCACCAGAGCGATTGTGGAGGAGGAAAAGTTTATTTAAGGACTCACATTTTCAGAGGTCTCAGTCCATAGACTGCTGGCTTCATTCCTTGGGGCTGGAGGTGAGGTGGAACATCATGTCTAAAAATGTGGTGGAGAGAAGCAGTTCACATGATGAATATGAAGCAGAAAGAGAGAATCCACTCATCAGATACAAAATATACCCCAAAGGCACCACCCCCAGTGATGCACCTCCTCTAGCCACACCTTACCACCTGCAGTTACTTACCACTCAGTTAATACCATGACAGGATTAACTTACTGATTGGGTCGAGGGTCTCATAATCCAATCATTTCTTCTCTAAACCTTGCATGTTCTTACACAGGAGCTTTTGCAGGATACCTAATATCTAAACCATAATAGTACAAAAATATAGCAAAAATGGAACTATTTGGTAAAGAAAAAATCGTCTCTGCATGCCTCAATAAGATGTCTCTTGTGAGAATTTCAGTGAAATCACAGATGAGATCATGAAGCACAGGAGCCTATGAGGCAGGCACTCAGTACCTGGAAGATATTAAAAGATTCGAAGACTCAAGACACCAGAGCAATAGTGGGGCCAAATGTTTCATTGGGCCAAATGCTCAGGATGTCAATTTCAAACAATCACATGAAGACAAATTGTGATCTGTTATTCCTATTGATAATTTCAGAATGTTTGGGATTATTTTTTCAGAAAATTTTTCATTTAAATTGTTAAAAAGAACAGTATGTTCTCTTAAAGTTTCAGTTTCAAAAAGAGTCAAAGCAGAACACTTGATTTACTGAGAATGCAAGATAAATAAAAACAGTCTCGCAAGTATTCATCATCATAATCTCCTCCACACTTTTACAATTCATTAGCGGCTATATGTATCTTACCCCAGGGAATGCTGCACTTGGTTCCTATCTGCTCTCCTGAGCCACTTCATGTCCCTGTGGATATACAGGTTCACTCATGGTTTATGTAAAACCTACCTCACTGCACAAAGGGTTCCAGGCACTTGTAGGGGAAACATACAACACAGGAGTAAGAAAAAATAAATCCATACAAGGGAAAATGTATACATGTGTTTCGATGGAAATACTTGCAGATAGGTTGCACCCCAAAATAAGGATCAGACGTGGTAGGCATATCTAACAATCCAGAAGACTAGCTGAAGTCCAAGTTCTGAGAAGCACCATAGGTTGTGAGTGGCGAAGGCAGTGTAGTTGCCCAGAGAGAGAAAAACAGGGAAAGAGGGAAATATGCGAGATATCTATGTAGGTATGAATGTAGATACATAGGTCTGTAGCTACATTATAAATATCTATATTTAATGGAGGGTAAAATTGAAGGGTCTAGATCAGCAAATGTTCTCAATCATGGAGAAACGGTGCACATTGCCATAAGAATTCTCTAACAGAAAGTAACATGAGTAGGGTGGGGTAGGGGCGTTAGTATCCCCTTCAACTTCACCTTGGGCTTCTGAGAATTTTTTTCTCTTGAGGGCTCAAGGGATGGTCCATGGCAACCACTAGTAGGAATTTTGAAGCAACAGAAGAAACTATCATGCACAGTGCACAGACGACAGAAATACCCTCCACCGGAAGCCATGCCGATGATAAAGAGGGGTCATGGCTGGGGGCAGTGAAACAATGTTTGTCACCAGTATAGCAGGGCTAAATGAGTGGCAGTGACGGTGTAGATGCTACATCATCTGGGTGGGACAAAAATGCTCAGTCTTGTCCTGCTTGCTCCCTAGATTCAGGCTCTGTCCACCACTTCCTCTCTAGCCTCTGCCCTTCAAAGACCACGCTAAAATTGCTGTACTGGGTCTCTAGGTTTTCATGATGCAGAAAACAAGAACCATAGAGACCTGAGAAAAGGAGGAAGGAAGCATAGGAAGTGCAGGAATCACAGCTGGAGGTTAAGTGCATTCTTGAAGGACATAAAAAGCCTGCACCAAAAAGGGACAGAGAGTTTTTAGTTTCTCTTTAAATTTTTCTTTCTTTCTTTCTGCTCTTGGTTCGTTTTCAGGAATTGTGCTAAAAACCGATAGCTGCAAGGAACATGGCTTGAAGGAAAATGAGGATTTTAAGGATTTTAAGGATGGTGGATGTGGTCCACCTATGCCATCCCTATCATGGTATTTAAGGATTGCAAATAAATGTGAATTTATGCTGAAAAATATTTTTGGTGATTTTGCCATGTTACTAATTATGGTAACTAAGACTGGACCACAGAGGGCATGGCATTGGAAAAACTGCCCAGAAAGGTCATGGAGCAGGGAAGATACAAGAGCAATATGTGTTGGTGGGCATCTGTGACAAACTTCCCAGGGACTTAAAAAAAAAAAAAAAAAAAAAACATGAGGACAAGAGTACAACAGCAAAACTCTTAAGGGGATGGGAGAAGAGGAGGTTTTGCAGACAGGAACAGAATCCCTGGTCCTGTGTCAAGAGGTGGAGACAAGCGCGGTGTGAATTATTGCGGTTAATGAATTCACAGGCTCGTAAAGTGGGAAAAGGTGGATTCTATGTAAGTTATAAAAAGAGGATTTCCCCATGTGCTTATAAGAAGATTGTTCCCAACCACCTAAAAGGGAAATTGAAATTACTTTAACATGGTAGCAGCAGCTCATCATAATGTGACTTTCTTTCCAGCCTCCTCTTTGACTTGTTTCCCCGCAATTGACATCCTACATCAGTGACTTCCAGCTGCAGAAGGGTTTGATCCCCTGCTCTGGGCATTTGGCACAATCTGGGGGAAGGTGAGGGTTGCTCCAGGCACTGATCCACTGGATGCAGGAAAGGAATGCAGCTGGCACCTGGCAATATGCAGGACAGCCCGCTGGACAAGAGTTATCTGCCCTAACCATCCGTGCAAATGGTGACAAATGTTACTTTAAATGCACTGAACTTTAAAAAATTCTTCAAGATTGCCTTGGTTTCTCATGGAGCCATACTGTGGTACAACTCTTCTCTCTTCCTGGAAAATATTTCTCTTTTCTTAAGTCACTAACTGCGCCACATTTCCACTCATATCGGTTCATCTATTTGAGAGTTTCTTTGGCTTTCAGAGAATAACGGAGGTGCTATTGCTTGCATTCTGCTATTGTATTTTGTATTGTATTCTGCTATTGTGGAAATTCTGTGATCTGCATGTCTGTTCACCTCAGGGACTCGGGAGGCTGAAGGAGGAGGTTCACAAATTTGAGGCTAGCCTCAGTGATGTAACAAGACCTCAACAATTTAGCAAGACCTATTGAAAAAGTAAAAAAATAACAAAAAGGACTAGGGATGTGGCTCAGTGGTAAAGTTAGCCTGGGTTCAATCTCCAATACTAAAAGGAAAAAAAAAGAAACCCCATAATTATTGATAATTGCTTATTATTTTCTCTCTAAATCTATCACTATAAGTCCACAAAGGTATAATGAGGTGGTCCCTCATTATATGAGATGAGGTGGCTTTTCATCTTTTTGTCTCTTAACTCTCGGCATTGTGTGATCAATAACTGTTGATTGAATGGATAAGCAACTAAAGTTTCTTAATCTCTGGGGTGATTTCTTTCATTTTAAAATTAACACACTAATATCTACTGTGCATTCCCATATTTCTTGTCATAGTAAAATAAGACAATAGATGGTATGTTGTTTAATATTTTTCAGAATGATGATACCTTCTGTTTACCAACCACCTTCTATGAGTTTGCCCCTGGGTAAGATGATTTCCAACCTCCTCCCCACTTTCATGTGGAGCTAGGGATCGAACCCAGAATGTGGTTCATGTTAGGCAAACATTACCACTGAGTGACAGCCCCAGCTCCATGTAACACTTCTAGTTGTCCCAGTTGGTAAGATGTAGTACCAATTGAACAGACAGAAACAGCTAGGCATAAGGAATCCAGGTGATTTGCTCAAGATCACAGACGGAGTCAACAGCGCATCTGAGGCTCAAATACAAATTTTGGGAGCAGAGAGATGGGTGTAGATGTTGACATCACTGCAAACACCCTACGTGTCAAAGATAGGGAGATCCCCAAAGATAGGAAATGCATCCAACCTAGTAAAGGAAAAGAATTTTTCTTTGTGTCTCCTGACCCACGGAGATCTTTCTTACAAAATCTGGAGCTTTAAAACCACAATTACCCCACCTGATTAATCAGAATTGTTTGTTTGTTCAAAGAGGATAACTCATTATGGAAAATATGCATTATAAGACCATAATATATGTATTTATTCAATTAAGTCTAATGTATTATTTAAGGCTTGGTGGGTGATATTTATCACTAGCAAATGCTAATTTATACAGATTATCAGAGTCTAATTAGGTGCACAGCTTGTGGGGACAGCCTGTACTTGGAAGGTGCAGCCATGACTTGGTCTACTCTGGGCTGATGGATTTATCACAAGGTCTGTCAACCTATGCCACATACTCATTTTGGACCATAAGCAGGTTTAAAAGTAAATGGCTGAACCCAATTACCATGGTTCCTTCTAATTGCTTGTGCTCACTCACTCCTGAGGGCTTCCTGTGTGTCACACACCCCCTTGTGCATCACTGCTCAATGTCACTCTGCCGAGCCGAGATAGTATTGGTGAAACTGTGGTCTTCCCCCTAAAACCAGCACAGCTATAAGCTATATTCAGGAGACAAGGGGGCCCATCTTACAACCTTCACTCAACAAACAAACATTGAAAAGTTACTCTGTGCCAGGCTTTGGGCTGGGGCTAGAGGATATGAAGATGAATGAATGAGTGACCTCTGTATCAACAGGAAGGTGTGGCACACTGCTGGGGCACACCCTTTCACATCCTACACTCTAGAACTAGAGTAGAGGCCTGACTCTGCCCAGTACCCGTTGTATGGCCAAAAGAGAGTGCTTTTAACTCTTGAATCCCTGTCTCCTCATCTATAATGGGGAAAGAACGGGTCATTCAATGTCACTATTCATAAAAAAAGAGCTACAGGGGCTGGTCTGTGGCTCACTGGTGGAGTGCTACCAAACATGTGAAGGTGCTGGGTTCAATCCAGCACTTCCCACTTTTTGCTGTTACATGCAAACTTGCCCTTTTACCCTTGAAGATCCGCCCTCTGGCTCTTGGTCTCTCCTCCAGAT